TATGTGTATGTGAAAACATGGGGGTGCGCATTCCCAAAAGAAACAAGGTTACGAAAACCCAAAAATAAAAATTAACGTAAAAGAAAACGAACAGTCGAACCCCCCCCCCAACAACAACAACCAAAAAGAAATTGGAAATCTGGACCCAAACGTGAACCAAAATTGAAGTTGCAGTTTAACTATCATGGGGCGCGCTTTCTCAAAACAAATAAGGGCACGAAAACCCAAAAATAAAAAATAAAATTTCCCCCTCTATTCAGAGCGTTTAGTTCCGAACCGACGTCAGCGGTGTTTTATTTATTTATTGACATGTAAATATATTTATATATTTATTTATGGAGTTTATAGTTTATACTTGTACGCTTTCATTATCCACGCTGCGTTTTATTGGCCCAGCCGTAATTCTATTTTTATTACTTTGTAAATATTTTTATCTTTTCAGTGTTTACTTTTCAGTTTTCTCCGTATTCAAATAGCCGTCTTGATATGTAAGCATTTCACAAAATTTAAAAAATAAATAGAATATCTCTACATTGGCTTTTTTGTATTTTCTTATTATTATTCATTTCGAAAGTTGTGCACAGAGTGCAGACTGCAGACTCTTTTGTGTAAAAAGGCAATGGTAGAGTGTGGACAGTGGTACAGCTATACATGTTATAAATATTTCCGCCGTTCTCGTTCATCCTACCTTCAAATCAGCTATGAGATAGCGCATACTATTCGTGCATACTATTCTCCTTACACATACTCCTACCCATCCCTACTCTGTATACTATCACCTAGTGCTACCACTGTCTCCTACCAATAGCCATAGCCCGCCTCACTACCCATTTTCTCACAGACGTGAAAGAATAACAATCATGCTTACTACGCTAATAAACGCAATGAAAGGTGTGGGTGGCACCATAGCTGACTGGGCGGGAGTATGCCCTGCGCCACTCAGCGGTGAAGGCTATCGTGTGGTTGTGGTTACTGGGTGTGACAATGAGTGCGGATTCGGACGCAAACTTAGTTTGAGGTTGTTGGAACGGGGGTATATAGTGATATGTTCGTGTTTCAGCAGGAAGACTGCGCAGCTGTACAATGAGAAAGACGACGGTATGATAGCGTTCGGGGGCGATCTTACTGATCGTGCGACTATGGATAAGTTTGTAGAGCTGATTCAAACTACATTGCATAGGAATGATGAGTATGTACTGTGGGGGTTGGTGAACAATGCGGGAGTGGCTATACCTAGCAACATCGAATGGGCGCACCCCGATACCTACCTACAAACCATGGCCGTTAATTTCCACGTGCATATTACACTTACTTATCATCTACTACCCATTGTGAAACGAAATAAAGGCAGTAGGATCGTTAACGTATCGTCAGTGTGCGGTTTGGTACCCTTGCCCATGTGTCCCAGTTATACAGCCAGTAAACACGCTCTAGAAGCGTACAGCGACGTGTTACGGTGTGAGATGAGCATCTGGGGTGTTCATGTGAGTCTGATTGAACCAGGTACAATGGCGACACAATTGGGCACATCGCATTTCGACGATTGGCTTAAGAGTTATAACAATGCACCGGAAATACGCAAAAGGGACTACGGACAGGAGTGGGCCGACAATGTGCATGCAACTGGCATAGAAGGCGCAAAGTCTATTGCTTGCAACCCGGATATTGCAGTGCATGACATGTTGTTAGCAGTAACATCCAAGCGTCCCAAGACGAGATACAGATCCGGGTTTCTGGCGAAGTATTTCTTCCGGCCGCTGGCTTGGGTCCCAGATAGATGGCGGGATTGGTTTCTGTTCAAGATGATGTACAAGGCCACACCTGGAACTCTGCAATAATTTCTTGTCGCAAACTGCTGTAACTCTGTGCTACATTGTACATATCTTATACTATATCCTATTTTGTATGTGTAGTACTGGTTTGTATATGGTTGAGCTATGGTGAATAACTCGTATGCGATAGGTGCTTGATGGATCTTAATGCCCATGCTGCTACGTGTCAATTGCGCATGTCACGGTGCAGTCCAGTCAGAAATTGCCGACAACAGAGGCGTGTCAGTTTTACCTCGATAGAAGAAAAGATCACATCTGTGAGTATACGAGACATTGCTCGGTATGAGGGATCGTACAAGTGTTCACACGCTTGCTGTGGGGCGTTACCTGGGCTTGTTTCAATCGCCTGTGATGTGCATCCATAGTAGTATGGCGGAGACGGCTAGCCGGTTAATAGCCACAGTTGAAGACACCAATACTGAGTTATATCGATGCTGGACACTATGTGCGTTTCAAATCACATATATTAGGCATCCCAATTTTCTTGATGTGTCAAGCAGGGCATGTGTGAAAATAGGCTAGCGACAGACGTGGGCTGATGTGGTGAATCCGATCTCATTACGCTGCAAGTACTGACGTGGTAGTCGTACGGATACGGCAGGGTATGACAATAAATTAGCTGTGAGTAGTGTTAGTGTGTAATAGTAAGTTCATTTATGGCTTGAGTGGAAATTATATATATCTTTGTGAGTAGTGTTAGTATGAAGATAGTAAGTTCATTTGTGACTTGAGTCGAAATTTCTATAGATCATTGTGAGTAGTGTTAGTGTGAAGGTAAGTGTAAATTTATTTATATCTTTGTGAGTAGTGTTGGTGTGTAGATAGTAGATTCATTTGTGACATGAGTGGAAATTTCTATATATCTTTGTGAGTAGTGTTAGTGTGAAGATAGTAAGTTCATTTGTGACTTGAGTCGAAATTTCTATATATCATTGTGAGTAGTATTAGTGTGAAGGTAAGTGGAAATTTATTTATATCTTTGTGAGTAGTATTAGTGTGTAGATAGAAAGTTCATTTGTGACATGAGTGGAAATTTCTATATATCTTTGTGAGTAGTGTTAGTGTGAAGATAAGTGGAAATTTATATATATCTTTGTGAGTAGTGTTAGTGTGTAGATAGTAAGTTCATTTGTGACTTAAGTGGAAATTTATATATATCTTTGTGAGTAGTGTTAGTGTGAAGATAGTAAGTTCATTTGTGACTTGAGTGGAAATTTTTATATATCTTTGTGAGTAGTGTTAGTGTGTAGATAGTAAGTTCATTTGTGACTTGGGTGGCAATTTCTATATATCTTTGTGAGTAGCGTTAGTGTGGAGATAGTAAGTTATTTTGTGACTTGAGTGTAGAATTATATATGTATCCCGTTTCCAGCATACCCTGTACAGCACTCGGTGCGCTGAAAGATATTCTCAGTCGCAAAAGTTGTGACCAATAGTGTTGGGTGTACGTTTGCTTTTCTCAGTCGCAAAAGTTGTGCCCATTAGTGTTGGGTGTACGTTTATTGTTTAACCGGAAATGTACAGAGGGGATCCCATATTGCATTGGTCTGCAATCCCTATCATATGCGACGAAATTTAGCCCATCGAAATATATGCAATAAGAAAGTATGTTATATCAGAAGCATCCTAGCAAGGCAGTTAGTGTATTAGTGAACGTACAACCACATATATCACGATACTCTGTAGACAACCCCGCTACACCTCTGCCAGGTATGCAGCTATCATACTATCGCCATATGAGCGCTGAGGCGTTCTAGGCGACAATGCATGCTCAACTGCTTTACTCGACTCTCCGGCAGACACTCACAAAGAAGTCCTCGAGATAGTATCACAGTGCACGTGCAGGGGTGTTCATAGCCGCTTCCGTACGTTACTATACATTGATTGGAACACTCGGTTGAGCATGCACGGATCAGAGGCTGGTAATATTGGGATCGACTGCTTGATATAAGTTGCACAATATACCACTCAAAGGTCAAGTTATCTTACCCAGCCAATGTCCACATGCATACTTCACCTAAAGTGTCGGGTACTCATCTACTCACTAGTGCGTATGTATTGCCGCGAACTTAACCCAAACTCGAAACACTGAGATCTCGGCTAGAGTGTTACTTAATTCTTTTTAACAAGCGAGTGCGAAACCCTGCATGTCATTTTCAAGCCAGTATGCCACACGCAAAAATCACAGACGTGCTCAAACGCGTCTATTGAAGTGTTAAATATTTATATAAATCTATCACCACGGCTTAATCTTTCAATCTCTCGGCATTGTAGTAAAGCACAGACGTGCTCAAACGCGTCTATTGAACTGTTTAATATTTATATAAATCTATCACCACGGCTTAATCTTTCAATCTCTCGGCATTGTGGTAAAGCACAGACGTGCTCATACACGTCATTTAAACTCTTTAATATTTATTTAAATTCATCACCACGGCCTAAATCATTCAATCTCGCGGCATTGTAATATCCGTCAGCGTGTCGGTGATTTCCTTCATGAGCGCAGGTGTAGCCCCACAGGCTATTTTCCTGGCCATCAGGTCCAGTTCGGTACCAGTGGTGTCGCAGCAGTAGCCGCCCGCTTCCTCCACAATGATAGACGCGGCACAGTAGTCCCAGGCGTGGATTCCAAATTCGTAGTAAGCTGTTTGTGGGGAGATTTGGCAGAAGACGCACCAGACCCGATTTAAATTTTATTTAGGAATGCGCCCAGATTCAAATTAGGTTTTCCAACAGTGACCACAAGTATCACACGGCGATCAGAGGACTGTGAGCTTCACCGAACTCGACGGTGCGATTAATAAAGTACAAAGTACAGTATATACTAATATGCAAGTGATACTACGCCAACTGCCTATAACGCCCATATACAACTGTGTGCTACTTACGAAGTATTAATAAAGTACAAAGTACAGTATATATTTATATACAAGTGTTACTACGCCAACTGCCTATAACGCCCATAAACAACTGTCTGCTACTTACGAAGTATTAATAAAGTACAAAGTACAGTATATATTTATATACAAGTGTTACTACGCCAACTGCCTATAACGCCCATATACAACTGTATGCTATTTACCAAGTATTAATAAAGAACGAAGTACAGTATATATCAATATGCAAGTGCTACTACGCCAACTGCCTAAAACGCCCATATACAACTGTGTGCTACTTATCAAGTATCAATAAAGTACTAAGTTCAGTATATATTAATATGCAAGTGTTACTACGCCAACTGCCTAAAACGTCCATAAACAACTGTGCACTTTACCAAGTATTAATAAAGTACAAAGTACAGTATATACTAATATGCAAGTGTGTACAATAGTGCTGTCGAATTGCCCTGGCATGAAAGAACACATCCACAAAGCCGTCGTGCACACAATCTCACATGCAGACGATCATAGGCGCTCTAAGCATGTATATACAGCTGTACCTTTTTTTGCGCCGCACATAAGCAAACGATGGCGATACAGCCCGGACAAGCTTAGACAACCTATACACGTACATATACAGTAAGACACATATAAATAGTCCATGCTCACGTAAACATCAGCACCACATTGGGTGGTGTTGTATACAAGCGCCTTAACCACAGGGTTATACACATACCATCGCACGCCCCCTTAGCAACCATGCACATGTTCATAGCAGCAGCCCCTAGCGACCGCACACTGTGACAGGGCGCCACCGCCATGCGGTAGTAGTTGTCTCTCACAATGTCTGTGCAGAAAACAAAGCCAGATCAGACACGGCTGATTCAGTAGGAGTTATAAACTCTCGTAGTAACGGCCCCCAGAACGAGATCAGATTCATAGTGTCTTGAACTAAACAGTCTGGTATAAGTCCATGTCGTTCGGTTTGGTTCTGCAACGCTAGCGAGAAGTGTCCTACGGATTGATCGCAGCTGCACGTAACGCTTAGACGGTGTCGTTACAACGCAACAGAAAGGAGTGGTCGCTGCGAATTCACCTGAGATGCATACGAGAGTATATGCACTCTATGTGGATTGTACGGCCTATTTTATATAACAGTGTCATTCGCTGCGTAGCTCTGCGATAGTCTGTCGCTTTTACGCCACCAAACGCCAGGGCCGATCCTCCGTACACAACACAATCAGAAACATAACCTTCGCAAATATACATCAGAAAGCGAAGGAGTGCGCCGGAAAGCTCCTCGGTTGGTTTGTGTAGGACCGACCCAGCGTACCGAACTTCACGCTTTAATAACCTCTACATATCCATACACACGCTAACCTGTTCGGAATAGTACATGCCTCCGGGTGTGGTGCTGCTGAGTGCCATATCCCGGATACGGTATGTGATCCTAGAATGGTACGTTATGAGGCCCAATGGAACGGCACATATTCGTGGGAGAGATATACAGCTATACGCAATGATACCGAACTATCCGAAGAGTCTTGGCGCGAACGAGAACACCCAACCCTGAGCTATGTGACACATCCACAAACAGACAGCATGTGTAGATAACAACACGTCACATCACGAGACTATGTACACACCTATGTGTGGCGACTCCCGGTTCGACCCAATCTCAGTACAGACAAGAGCGTTCTTCAGTCCTGTGCATTTAGATACACTCAAGGATGTGCCATTGAGCGTCGCCCCCTGACCTCTGATAGCGGTGTACATCTGCATACACACACATACGTGGTGTGGAATGTTAAGTGTCTTTAAGCTCTCGACTAAGCCAACTCAATACATACACGTATATACATACACGTATATACATACACGTATATAGTGTGTAGTTCATGAGACGTGACAGGGTGCTATCTGTGACCACACTCCCTGACCTCCAACTGCGCAGTACTGGGCCAGGACAGTGCGACACAAGCCATCATGCATATACCGGGTAGAGGTGACTAGGAAACCTCATCTCAGGCAGATGTATCGGATACTTCACAGTCAAACTTTGATAGTTTGTCAAGTAATCTCCTATCCGCGGTGCAAATTTTAATACCAAGACTTGGACCACAAAAACTCCCTGCGCGCTAATAGGTATTACCATGTACATAACGTTACGGCTTAGATGCCGTTACGCTCCAACATGTTACTATGAACCGTTCCGTCGACATCTGGACTGCATCTGTCACGGAAAGGTTCAGTACAACTGCCATACGTACACCTCACTTATACGTGCAAATACTCTCGTCAAATTCACCAATCGATTGAACATATAGATCCACATGCATTGCATAGCGCAAGTCGCACTTGAACAAAACATCGCGAATATAGCTCACACGCCACATATTCGCCCAAATACATGAGCATACTCGCATTCAGAGCCGAAACAGTAGGAACTTCCTGAGACGCGGCAGTCACCCTCAGCCCACACCCTAAACCCTAACACCCTAACACCCTAGTACACGCACGTGTGCACAGGCCAGGCCTGTCAGTCATATAAGTACATACCTCATCCAGGATAGGCGCATATACCACACCTAGCACAACCTTCTTCTTGATGGTGAGCCCGATGCAAACAGAGACGTACGGGAAACCGTGCACAAAGTTTGTGGTGCCGTCGAGAGGGTCCACGATCCAGGTAGGCAAATCCGTCAGTTCGTTCTTGGCTCCGGCCGCGGTCGACTCTTCCCCAATAAACCTGACAGGGGAATGTGGAGTAAACTCAAGATCAGTTGGTGGAGAGTGGAATGACAAGTAAACAAATAGGATCTATCTCGTATACCCGTAACGTAATGACTCCCATGCGGCATGCGCTCTCGCCAATAAATACGAATCGCCTGTACAGCGCGGTCAAACTCTGGTACAGAACATGCTGCTCTTCCTGCCGGTTTGAAACTGAAACCCGCCCGAAAGAAGGGACCAGTGAAGCAAATGTCACCAACGTCAAAAGTTCGTTAAATGTTCGTCAAAATTTAGCCAAAACTTCGTCAAAACTTCGTAAACGATATAGAATCTGCACAGGTTTGAGATGTTCTGTTACATCACATGACTCGTGTCATAGACGAAACTAGTTCTCTGTGTAGGTGTATCGCACACTTTGTCTCTCGCAATCGGATTATTCAAACGAATGCTTTATTCTATGTGAGTGCATGTATATAGATTTGCCCTACTTGTTCTATCCAGCATAGGCATATGAGGTGTTCAATTTGATAAGATATGAACAGAACTCATCCGAAGAGAAATCATTCATACCTCGTGACGTACACACGCGCTGACCAATCGATTATGACCACGCCTAAAAGTATAATAAACGTATGTATCTTGCGATGCTACTATGAATACGGATACCGATCAAATGTTTCAATCCAAGAGCAGAGATATGAGGCAGCGCTATGATTTAATTGACTTGCAGGTAAATACTTTATGTTGAGGTGCATATACCTTAAACGGACACGACAAAACCCCCACACACGCACACATAAGTGTACTCAAACACGTTCACACTCCTCCCAAACCTCGCCTACTCCCAAATACGCACATCAACACCTATACACAAATGCGCACAAGCATATAACCGTAAACACACTTGTGGTCAGGGTATGTCTCCAAGAGTGTCTTCTTGATGAGATCCTCACATTGCTGGTCCGTGACGGTAACCAAATCAACACTCGAATCCTTCGTCATCACATTTTTAGAGTGGTTTTGGAAAGCATCATTGATCAACTGGTGCTCAAATGGAGAAAGAAAGGCAAGTTCATTTATTAATAAAAGCAAGATGCTACTGAAGGGATGCTTACCGACAACGAAACTTGAGAACAAAACCGATATCTATCAAACAATTGATAGTCACACCCTTACATGCACAAGAGTTAACGTTACATACATACATATACATATACA